TGAGACAGTGGCAATAAATTTTCAAAAGAGTTGTTTACTGAAGTGCTCCAGCTAATAAAAAAGGAGTTAAGCTGTTACTGAGAAATCTCCCTCCCACCAAACCGCTGATGGGCTCAGTCAGTTTTCAAGGTCGTAGAGAGAGGAAGGGAGCCCCGGATCTTTCTCGTGGGCCTGGCCGTGAGGTACGTGGCCTTTCCTGCATGTCCAAAGGATATTACCAAGTGAGAATTCCTTCACCCGGGCACGAGCTGCCAATCAGAGCCCAGGTGTGCTGGAAAGCTGATGATTTATGTCTGTCTGGCCACATTCCCATGCGCCATCAATTATACTTCTATTCCTGGATGGTAAATCTTCTTGCTACGGTGTTTTTGCAAGCCAGATAGGCTTTTTTATGTTTTCCAGGTTTATTTTTGTGTATAAAACCTAATCACTCTACTATGACACACAGGACACAGATACATAACATATGCATAAAGTGCTGGTATCTGTGAGGTCTCCCCTGCTGAATGAAACCGCTGCATTATAAAGAGATGATAGGAAAAGAATTGTATAAATATGTGCACCTTGATAATCAATGCAGTAATTCCCTTCTCCCCTTCTACGGAGAGTCTTTCTGCAATTGCAGGGCAGAAGTCACATTCCGTAGCCGAGATTCAATCATGAAACTCGGGTCTTTGACTCAACCACTCTTACCTTCTTCCTGAACCAGTGTTTATCTTGGGCTCCCTTATTTGCTTGTTGTGCCATCTTTATCCGTTTTTGTTTTTTTTTTTTAAATTCCATCCTCACATTTTAATGTGCTGAGGCATATAGGATCGCATATATCTTGTGAGCCTGCCAATCATGTGGAGAGCTGCCTCTTTCTTCTTCATATGTATTTTTTTTAACTTTCGGACAAAAGAATTACCATCCAAAATTGGAGAATCCCAGTTGGAACTGGAGCAGAGCCCAGTGTTGGACGTTTCAATCCACGCAATAGCTCTTCATTCTCAGCAAGTGCTGTCAGTCACATCCTATATTTGCAGCTATGACCATACACTGTGCCGGGAAGATTGACTTTTTAAGATTCCTTGTCTATTTCCCTTAACTTTAAACCTAAAAATAAAAGGGAGAACAGATGAGAGTGAAATTGCAGAGAATTGTTCTCATACATAATGTAACTCCCTATTTAAGAACAGGCATAAAAGTGTAATTTCATGTTCATTTTGAGGACTCTAAGCCAGCCTTGGGGAGCACAGTGTGGTTCTGGGGAAGGAGGTGCGATTTGTCCGGGCGTGAGTGACTGTCCCCATGACCCCTAGGATGGAGACATCATGGGCAGTGCGTGGAGCCAAGTCTCTGATGTTGTGGTGTAGTTTCACCTCGGCCAGGTCCCTCAAGGGCAGCCACCCTTCGAAGTGGCCAACGGCACAGCTTGGTAGATGGTCTCGTGTGTGGATCACAGCCAGGATGGCAGTTCCAGTGCCTCCATGTGAACATTGGTAGCTCTACTTTTTTAGTTTTTTCCTAGGCTACAATGGTGAGAGTTTTAGACCACATTCTGTGGCTTCTAATCTCATGCCTTCTGATTCCAGTCATTGTGAGAGGTGAGACAAGACACTTATAACAACAAAAACAACCACTACTACTACTTCTCCTCTTTCCTCCTCCTCCTTCTCTTCCTCCTCTTCCTCTTCCTCCTCTTCCCCTTCCTCTTCCTCTTCCCCTTCCCCTTCCTCTTCCTCTTCCTCCTCCTCTTCCTCTTTCTGTTTCTTCTTCTTTTTCTTTCTTGGCTATGAAATAATAACCCCATTCCCTCATTTCATTTTCTTGTAAAAAAACAAAAATAACATAATTTGCCAGCAGATGCTGTAATGATAACACACAGTACCAATGGTTACTGATAACATGTTAGATTTGACCGGCCTGTTTTCAGAGAACGGGAGATGTCTGGCTCAGCTCTCATGCGAAGTGTGATGTTTTGTGCTTATTTTCTATGTCAGAGGAACAGGGGTTAATAAATGGAAGGACCCACCTTAAAAGGAAAGTGGTATAGCCAGGAGATCTGAGGAGTTGCAGGGGCTAAAGGAAGGAGCACGAGCTATGTTAACATTATTGCATTACAAATGCATTTAGAAAAGTATACATCCATTTATTTTTTTCAAAGTAAAGTTGTTAGAGCCTTGATACACAATCCTCAGCTTGAAGTGTTTTGGGCTTTCATGAAGAGTTAAGGTATCCAAAAATACAAAAGAAGGCAAAATTAATTAAATTTAACGTATTATTTCTTAAGAACTTTTAGTGGCTGGCATAGATGTCGAACATCTCTTAATAATCACTTCTGATCCCTTGGAAACGACAAGAGAATTAGGATACAAGGTCCGTGTAGTAATACCTATTCTGGAGCGATTCTTACATAACCCGTGTTGCATTCACAGGTCCCCGCAGTTGCCGTGACTGCAAGGGGGGCTGCTGGCACTGATGAGGCTGGTGAAGTAGTTCGTCCACTAGCAGAGATACTGGGTTTATGCCACCTGCCAATCACTGGGCAGGTGCCAGGGACACATCGATGTAAATGATGTGCCTCAGCTTGTGGTCTAGCAGGAGAAGAGAGCAGATCATTGATTTCTGTGTGGTTCTTGTGCAATTTATTAGAAGTTGCATTCATTCAGCCATCCATTTCTTCATTCACTCATCCCTTTGGCAGTATCGCTGAGCACCTTCCAGAGGCCAGGCTTGGGGCTGGGGCCCAGGTGTTCAGTTGAAGACAGCAAAGGTTTGGTGCTCATGGGTCTGCCTGGCAACAGGGGATCAGCATCTCAAAGTGGGTGACACTGGGGGCGGCTTCTAGACAGTGCCTGTTTTCCAAGGGGAGGAGGAAGTGTGAGTTTTAGGCAGAGAGATTACCACGCTCAGGGCACTGGCCTGTGAATATGCAAGCCCTATTTTGGGACTGGTTGTGTTCACTGGGGTAGAGTTTGGGGCTTGTGACTGTTGGCATCAGGATAAGAACTCTTCGTGTTTTGAAGGTGAACCTGAAGCCTAGATATTGAGGAATCCACCCGAGTTCACAGAAGTAGTTAAAGGGAGAGCTTGAATCGGGGTGACAGCAAGGCAAGGAGGGAGGACAGTAAGGCAGTGGCTGCCGTTAAGGTGTGTCTCCTCTAGGCATCGCAGCTCCTTGCGGGCATCTCCGGGAGCTGCATCCACCTGTGCCGGGCAGTGGACATGTGTCCTGTGCCCCAGGAGCTTTCAAAATGGCCACTCGCTCAATACTGCCTTGTAGAAGGAAAGGAACTCCTGGTCGTTTCCCAGACAGAGGGAAAGACTGAGCCTGTCGTGTGACATTGAGAAGCAGCAGTAAGTGCGTTTCTCAGGGGTCAACCAGATGCAAAGAAAAACAATGTGCCTAACTGCTCCCTTCCAGCAGACTCGGTTGTGAAACCTCAGGCCTTTGCACAATAGCGGCCATTGTAGGGAGGGCCACTCGTTCACGGTGACAGGGACCTCCGTAGCACCTGTGTGTTCTAGTCAACTCAAGTGAAGGAGGTTTAGGTGCACTCTGAATTAACTCATATTTTGCAATGCCATTCATCTCTCTAGATTAAACTATAGGTGTGGGCCAGTTCAAGGAACTTTCCATTTACCTTCTAAAATTTGAGTATTGACAATTGAGAGTTCATTCTGAGAGACAGGTTCTGTTGTAGAGGAGGGGCAAAGTGTGTCAATAACTAACAGACAGCCACAAAGTTACATTTGGTGTTAAAAAGGTGTTGACGCAGCCGGGCGTGGTGGCTCACGCCTGTAATCCTCGCACTCTGGGAGGCTGAGGCGGGTGGATTGCATGAGCTCAGGAGTTCGAGACCAGCCCGAGCAAGAGCGAGACACCCTGTCTCTACTAAAAATAGAAAGAAATTAGCCAAACAACTACAAATAGAAACAAAAAATTAGCCAGATGTGGTGGCTCACGCCTGTAGTCCCAGCTACTTGGGAGGCTGAAGTAGGAGGATTGCTTGAGCCCAGGAGTTTGAGGTTGCTGTGAGCTAGGCTGACACCATGGCACTCTAGCCAGGGCAACAGAATGAGACTCTGTCTCCCAAAAAAAGATGCTGATGGAAGTAGCACAATGGAATATTACACAGCCTTCAAAAAGAAGAAAATGCTGTCATTTGTGGCAACATGGATGAACCTGGAGGACACTAAGCTAAGTGTAACAAACCAGGCACAGAGAGACAGATTATCACACCATCTCACTGATAATGGGGAATCTAAAAGAAGTCAGACTCTTAGAAGCAGAGAGTAGAATGGTAGTTACCAGGGGCTGTAGGTAGAAAGTGAATGGGAAAAGGGGAGATGTTGGTTAGAAGATAGAAAATTTTCAGTTAGATAGAAGGAATAGGTTTTGGTGACCTATTGCACAGCTGGATGACAATACTTAGTGACAGTGTATTATATATTTCAAAATTGCTAAGAGAGTAGATTTTAAATTATATGAGGAGATAAATGTGTTAGTTTGGTTTAATCTTTACACAATGTATACATATATTGTAACATCACATTGTACCTCATAAAGATATAAGATTGTTACCTGTCAATTGAAAACAAAAAAGATACTGTCTTTATTAGTTGTGTGTGTGTGCATAAACTTTTTTCCCCAAGACAATACTGTTTTCATGCTGGTTGAATTCATATTAATCACAATATACAGAGGGAAGAATAGAATTTAAAAAAAAACAAAAACAAAACAGAGACAGCTTTCCATTTCATTTCCTCCTGAGTTATGTCACTGGAGAATGTTTCAGTGACATAATACTTCAGTTTGCTGATCCATAAGGGTAGCAGTAAGCCACTTCGTAGAGATACTCGGACACTCACCTTTCTCCGAATGACGGGTCCCATCCTAGGCTGCTGAAGCGTGGAATTTTGTGCATTTTCAAACAGCAGAATATAGTAATAGGCTGACCCTAGTCACAGCGGTGGTGGACGTATTTACATTGCCCTTGGCTTTCCTCTCTTTGCAGGAGCACTGAGCGGCCATTCATGCTTTTCCTGTCCTATCTCCACGTGCACACGGCCCACTTCTCCAACCGCGACTTTGCAGGCAAAAGCCGGCACGGCAAATACGGGGACGCCGCCGAGGAGATGGACTGGAGCGTGGGTACGTGCGTCCCCCGCGTGTGCTTGGAGAGCGGGAGGCCTTCGCCCCCTCTGTCTCTTTTCCTGCGAATTTCTACCTGTGTTCCTGATGCCTTTATAGATGCCATGTGCGTGTGTGTGTGTGTGTGTGTGTGTGTGTGTGTGTGTGTGTTCTCTAAGGCAACCAGAAACACGTGATTTTCAAAGGTAAACAGGATACAGAAGCAGCTTCAGCCCCCTGTGCGTGTTTGTGGTTGCCAAGGGCTACGTCGGGGGGGGGGGGTCTGTGTCTGTTGGAGATTAATGGAGAAAAGGAGTGGAGTGCCGGTCCTTGTCTTCTCTTACTCTGTCAGCACTGAAACACGAATGGCGCCCTGTCATTCGCAAAGCCCAACAGTGGTGGGTTTGGATGCGGAGCTCTCCAAACTCTACGGCTTTGGAGAGCCACCCAGGACGACACGCCTGGGCCCCCCTGCTCGTGCTGCGTCTGGGCAGTGCTCAGAAGAGGATTTCTGCTTCTTCCTGTCCTTTCTCCCTTTTCCTAGGCCAGTTACCATATTTCCGAGAAATAGGGCATTTTTCAGAGATGATGGAAAGGCTTCCTGTTGGAGGTTTAGTTTAAAAATCCATCCTCTGTACCAATATGGGACACTCGTCCCCTTTTCATCTAGGTGCTTCAGTGCCACGGAGTTTGCTCTGTCGGCTCATGTCAAGCAGCAAATTGATGAAAGTGATGGTCCCTACTATGGTGACTACACAAACAAGTTCTGTTCTTCTTCTTTTTTTTTTTTTTTAAATCGTGAAAGGAACTCCGGCTTAAGAAACAAGAAGACTGGACTCTTCTTCCAGCCTCTAGATCTTTCTTTAATTATCTCTGTGAACTTGAGAGATGTCTTAAATCTCAAAGCCTCTCATCTGTGATCTCGAGAGGAAGGAGTCAGACTAGGCAAGTCCTAAGTGTCTTTTTTCTCTAACAGCGTGTGCTTCTATACTGTAACAAGAGTCAGTGTCACTTGTAATATTAACTAAGAAAAGCAAAACCAGAACATTCTCCCGAACAAGATTTATAAGAAGGATGCGCTGTGCTTAGGGCTTCCACATGTGTCAGTACAAACCTGCCTCCTTTCATTTTCCCATTTCTAAAATGTTGCATGTAAATCAATTTACATGTCTCACATCTAAGTGGTGTAAATCACTAGACTGTTCTGTAGCATAGATCAGTAGAATACTTTATCTCGTTAACGAGTGTTACATTTTAATGTGTCTGACTTCGTATACAGCTCGCAGACTCCTGTTGGCTGGCAAGCAACTCACGCTGACATCATCGCACCTATTGATTAAGTTTTATTTAATTATAACATACTGGTACACACACCTCCTCTGACTTATTAGAAATTATAACTTCCAGTGTGGGCTAGTTCCCGCTAGAATTATTTAGAGAGTATTTTTCAGTCTTTGAAACCTGCGTTAGACCCTTATATAATATTTATAGATGATTGTGTTCTTTTTTTTTTTTTTTTTTTTTTTGCCAAAAGATAAAACCCTTCCCCTAGGCATTACATTAATTTTTCAGGAAGTTTTTGTTTTATAAATCCAATACATCTGAGTGTTTTGAGAAACAGCCCTTCTTCCCAAGAAAAGCCTTTCATCATTACACAGAAAGGGACTACGGCACTCGGAATAATTATGTAATAAAATGAAAGGGGGATATTTGCTTTAAAAGAACTGCTCCCTGCACAAAGGACAACTGAGCTAGGAGCGGTGTCCTAGGCCAGGCACATCTCAGTTATTCAAAGCATTTTTTTCCAAAACCTGAGGGCAACATAATTTGGGGGGAGCATCCCTTTCTCCCTGGCAGGTTTCTCTGTGCCTGGGAAGGCGTGTTTGCAACGAAGAGCGTGTGCACTATGGCGGCTCCACCCCACCTTTCTGCCCAATGCCTAGCTGGGCGATGGCTCTGTCTTGCGTTGTTGCTGTAACTGGAGGTAGACTGACTCCACAGAGGTGGCGTGAGAACCACAGAAGGGGCTTTGCAATAAAACCACGCAGGGTCCCTAAACTCCTGGAACTATAATACCGCCGTGCACATCCGAAGGTGGGGGCAGCACTTTTTAAATAGTCCCAGTGACCGCCCTTGGGAGCTTGCCCCACGCCTGGCCCTGAGGTCACATGCGTGGCCTCCTTGTGTGCCGCCCATTCTACACGTGAGGCTTGGGGAGGTTAAGGACACCCACCTCAGGTTGCAGAACTCATAATGGATGAACAGGTGTTCACACGCAGCTGCCTCATGTCTCCACCGCCTTGTTCCTCTTCTTGCTGAGTACCAAGAAAGGCTGCATCATCGCTGTGCATGGTCAGCAGCAGACGGTCAACAGCAGATGTCTGGGAAAGCATTAGCTCATTCATTGGTCACGTTTTGTGGGTGCCAACTGTGTGCTTACGTGTATTGGAGAAAGGGGTTCAATAATGGTAAGACTCTTGGCTTCAGGGAGCAGAGAGGCTACTAAGGAACTTAAAATTCTTATCACAACGCAAGGCAGAAAGTGAGGAATATCCCTAGGGAGGTGCAGGTGAAGTGTTTGAGTGGTAGAACAAGGAAGGGAGGACAGATGGACATATGTGGCCGGTGGCTACAACTGGCCCTGCCCGCAGTGGAATTCCCTGGGTGATCCTGCTGCTACTGCAAAGTCAGACTTTCAATCCAATTAATTCTGAAGCAGCGGAGCGTTGAGGAGGAACAAATGTGTAAAATTGCATTTGTTTTCAAATGTGCACCGGGCATTTGGCGGCATGTCATTCTGGCTGTTTTCTTCCATTGGAAATAGGCTGACATTGACGACAGACCTGTTCACGGGTGGGGGTGTGGAGGGAGCTGGTGGAGGGATGGATGTAGTTCTCACGGTGGGTGGTTCTTATCTATAGCTTATACCATCCTAGTGCACGCAGCTCCAGTCTGTCAGGCAGAATCTGCATGCAGTCAGCATTCACTTAGAGCCCTCTGTGCTATTAATAGAACCACACGCAGGAACCGCAAAGCAGCCCTTGCTCAGGATTAGACCAGCAAATTCTGAGCCCTTATGAAGAGAAATGTCAGCAGAGAACAATCAGGTGGGTGCTAAAACAAACCTCTGGCTTCAGGTCAAACCTCCCTGTTGAAAACAAAAAGATTCCTGCCACTGCTAAGGGTGGGAATCAAATCGTTTATGTGAGATTCTCTGTCAGACACAAATGGTGGAGGGAACACCAGTGTCCTGGGCTTGCTGAGTTTGGTGCTCAGTTGCTCACCATCTCCGGCTTGGTTCCCCTAATGGCTTAGCCTCACAAGCCAGCCTTCCCTCAGTTTCTCTTCTTTGGTTTCTTCCACCACCCCTCCTCCCCACCCTTGCGGGGTTGGGAGTGGGGGCTCTGGACAGTGACACCACCTTTGGGCACAGAGAACCAAGCTGGAGGAAAAATAAGGGATGAGTGCTTGAAAGGTGACCCAGGGAGGTGGCACAGAATGCGTCTCTCTTTACCGTGCCTGACACATGGTCAATCAAGTGCTGCCCAACAAAGCATCAGGGGCCCGCATCCTGCCTCTTTCAAGGGATGGAGAAAAAGTTGGAGGGTCTCATTCACAAGAGCTCAGGGTAGAGACAGGAACCTCAAGAAATGTAAGAAAACTCCGCCAGAGAGGAGCCCTGGGTATTGGTCAAGGAGCCCTTCCAACCTTCGTAATTGTAACCAGGGTCTGGCTTACCACACCTGGTTCTGATGGATTGCCCATTCCAAAATAGATTCTTTCTAGGACAGCTGGACTAAAATAGCTGTAGGGGTACAGACTTCAACATGCAATGAATACTTCTTCCGTGAATATGCTCATTTACCTGCACAAAAGTGCTCTGGTTTAGTTTATGAGTCAATGGAAAAACATCTATTTTTAGAATCCTATAGACTGAGCATGTGGTAGGTACTTAGTAAGTAGTGAAAAGTGAAGTCTTGGATAACAGGTGCCTGATATTTACAAGGCCTTATCTAAGGTGCCAGGAATTGCTAGGAACACAGTCATGAATATGGCTGTCAAGGTTTTCTCCTGTATATGTAGATAATGGTCCAATCACGGGTGTGCAATAAGATTACCCTGCAGGAATGTTTAAGGCAGTGGAGGAATTTATGACCCACAGTTTATCTCCACCTAAATCCAGGATAAGAGTTTGGGAATCAACCTTTGTGTCTCTATTTTGCAAAACTGTAAGATCTGAAAAAGCAATGCCCATGTTCTCTGTCATTCCTTGTTCTATAGAGAATGCAGCCTGGATGGCAAGGCTGTGTGTTTCCCTTGGGATTCAATGCATCGCTTTTCTATCTTGGATTTCTTAAACATTCATATTTTTGATCAATGGGACCTTCTTGAAAGCATGAAAGTAATGTACATGCTTCTGGTACACACTGACAACAGCAGGTCCCCCAGAACATTGAAAGGAAGAACCTCCCGCCCACTCCCCCTGGCAGAAAAAAAAAACCAACAGAGCGTCCAGAGACTGAGAAGTGGGGTCAGGGAATTCAAGGGCAGGGAGCATTTAAAGGAAAGAGGTTCGACACCAACAAGTTCTTCAGAGACATGAGGAAGAGGTGGAAAGGGACAAGTGAGCGTACTCCCATACACTTTAGAATCATGGTGGGTGGCAGAGACTGTGTATCCAAGGAGCTGGGCTCAATGACGTTGGGTAACGCTTTCAAGAGAAAGGGAGGACTTTGCACCAAGGTCTGTGTCTGAGGTCAGCGCTGCTCTGAGCTGGGTGTTGGCATCAGTGTATGGAATTGTGTGGTTTTCAGTCCAACGTGGGGACAGGGCATAGGGTCACCAGACTGATTTGACGATTGGAATTTTGCCAGCAGGGAGTGTCCCAAAAGGCACTGGGCAGCAGACTTTGGGTTAGCAAGGGAATGACCACGATGGTGGGGTACGAGGAGGGAATGGGTCGGACATCAAGACAGGACTGTGGGAAAGCTGTCGGAAGGCTAAGGAAGATTGGGAGCATT